GAGATGCTGAGGAGGGTGGACGGAGAGAACCGCATCCAGACCCTCAAAGAGGAGCTGGAGTTTAGCAGGAACCTCCACTCTGAGGTCAGACCCTGAGAAAAAAGCACTTATATTGAAAGAATTATTTGAAAAATATATGAAACCTTTTTCATATAATCTCCTCAGCCACCACCTGAAATGATTTTGTGTTTGTAATCGTCCAACAGGAGCTACGGGAGACAAAGCGGCGTCATGAGTCCCGCATGGTTGAGATGGACAATGGCCACGTGCAGGACTTTGAAAGTAAATTATCTGAGGCGCTGGCGGACATGCGTAGTCAGCATGAACTGCAGATAAAAATGTACAAGGAGGATGTCGAGAAGACCTACAATTCCAAGGTACACCATACATTTTTTGTTGTTCTAGGTAAAAAAAAGAAAGACACAATACAAAACACAAACTGCACACAATAATTATCCAAAACATCATAAAACAGGAATGCATTGGACTCATTCGGGCTGGGACTACTGAAGCAACATTAGTTTCAGACTGCAGTTTTTTTTTAATGTTAGATTTAAATCATTTTCTCCCTTGTTGTTTCTCTGTCAGCTGGAGAACGCTCGTCAGTCTGCAGACAGGAGCGGCCACCTGGTTGGAGCCGCACACGAGGAGCTGCAGCAGACACGCATCCGCCTGGAGTCCATGTCCTCTCAGATCAGCCAGCTGCAGAAACAGGTACAGTGAGGAGCAGCTGAGGGCATAATACATTGCATCAATATGAAATCAACAACTGAACTCTGCAATTCTCAAAATAATTAGAGTTAATACTGTATTACACGTAAATGATTCTTATTAATGCACTACTGTGGTTATTGTATTAAATAAAATATATTATGCATACACTTTTTTTAAATTATTTAAAAATTATATTTCTTCTTATTTTATTTTACCTTTTTTTAAATGTATATTTGTATTTTATGTTATTTAATTTAGCTTCATTTTACAAGTTCTGATTCTGGCATCATGTCATGTTTTTCCTCGTTAGTATGTTAGGCCAAATATACTACTTTACTTTATATTTGCTGTTTTTAAAAGCTTAGTTGGGCTGTCTTTTGCACAATGTTACATTTTAATCTGATTTATCTTGTTTTTACAAAAAACGTCTGAATACCAAAAAACTCCTTTGACCATCTTTGGCTTTGCTTGACAAATCTGAAGCTTTGAAGCTGTGTTTTTTCGGCCTTTTTTGTCTTATTTAATCTAACAACGGTGTCACTCTCTCTCTGATCCAGCTGGCGGCCCGCGACGCCAAGATAAGGGACCTGGAGGACGCCATGTCTCGGGAGCGGGACACCACCCGCCGCCTGCTGGGGGAGAAGGAGAGAGAAATGGCGGAGATGAGGCAGAAAATGCAGCAGCAGCTGGACGAGTACCAGGAGCTGCTGGACGTCAAGCTGGCTCTGGATATGGAGATCTGTGCCTACAGGAAGCTTCTGGAGGGAGAGGAGCAGAGGTAAACAGTTGCAGAAAAGAGTCTTGCGGTAATTCAACAGTGATTTCCTTTGTGCTACAGAGTTGCCATTCATAACCAGAGGATGAAATATTATCCAGATGTTTCTATTCAATAAAAGTAGTAATACGACATTGCAGAGACACTTTAGTGCAAGTAAAAATCCTGGAAACCAAATCGTACTTAGGTAAAAGTACAAAGGTATTAGCATCAAAATATACCTTAAATACAAAGGTAAACTTAATGTGCATATTGGCCTATTTCCGAAGAATGTCAAATATATAATTGGATCATAAATAGCAATGCATTAACATTAAAGATTAAAAAATACATTTTTTTAAATCTATCACAATGACAGAAAATTGTCCTACCCATGAGACTTAGATAAAATGAAAAACACAAATATTCAATAGAAAACTAAGAACAGGGTTTATATCATATCATACTTCGACTTATGCGATGTAGTGAAATGCATAAATGATCATAATATGAAAATACTTACATAAAGTACAAGCATCCAAAATTATACTTAGTACTTGAGCAAATGTCCTTCCTACCTCTTCCTCTGTCACTAACACTTGTTTGTCCCTGCAGGCTGCGTCTCTCCCCCAGTCCCCCTCCCACCAAGATGACAGGAAGTCGTTCCTCTGCGTCCGGAGTTCTGTCTCGCTCAGCTCACTACAGCACTAACAGCACTCCTGCCAAGAGGCGCCGCCCCAACGACACGGACAGCGAGGCCTCCAGCATGGGAGGAGGGTCTGTGGCCCGCACACGCATCACCCAGCAGGCTTCAGCCAGCGGGCGCGTCACCGTGGACGAGGTGGACCTGGACGGGAAGTATGTCAGGCTCAGCAACAAGAGCGATGAGGTGAGGGGTGAATTCATGTTTGGGTGATTAATTATTATGAATTCAACTTACTTAGGGGATTTGACACTTTAAAAAACAACTGCTGACCCTTTTAATCCAACCATCAGGACCAGAATTTGGGAAACTGGCAGCTGAAGCGACAGGTGGGATCTAGTGTTCCAATCATCTTCAAGTTCCCGGTGAAATTCACCTTAAAGGCTGGGCAGAGGGTCACGGTAAGAAATACCTTCACTCAGAAGAATCACAAATCAGTACAGTGATAAACAGAGTAACAGATTACACACCTTTGTTAACCTTAACTCCCGGTGACAGATCTGGGCCTCTGGTGCTGGGGTTCCCCACAATCCTCCCTCTGACCTGGTGTGGAAGACTCAGGCCTCCTGGGGCACCGGACACCTCTTCCAGACCACCCTGATAAGCACCAATGGAGAGGTATTCTGAATTTACCGGTCAAATGGTTCTTTATCTAAGCCTATAGTACTGTGATGACATTAGGTTTAATATGGCCTCAGCCCAGGCTTGTGTCAAATGATATGCACAGAGCTTTTTAGTGCCAGAAATGTGAAAAAATAAAAACGTAAATACTTTTTCCTTCAGGAAATGGCAATGAGGAAGGTCACCCGCACACAGCTTGAAGAAGAAGATGATGACATGGTAAGATAAATTGAATTTGAACACAGAAATCTGCAGGATACATCTGAGTGCTCAGGGTGGTACAATAGATTGTGTTGTCCCTTTAAGTTAACCTAATATTGATATTGGAAATCAGCCATGGGCATAATGCAGAAACACACAATCTGTAAATCTGTATTTGCACTATATATTTGTTCTATTGTTGCTGTACAAAGGGTCTGAAAGTGTGGAACAACCACGACATGTTGTCATCATTAGAAAAGTGGTTAGAACAGACCTCATTCATGTATGGATTATTATCTATATTTTCTTTAGAAGACCAACAGTCCAAAACACACATTTTCTGTTTTCTTTTATATAATTCTAAGAAAGTCAGAAAATCCAGGAAATATTTTAAACATTACTCAAATTATGAATCAAATATCAAAACAGTTTATGATTATGATCTCTTTTGAATGTATTATACGAGGTTTATAGTTTTGTCAAATATCCTGCATCCCCATAGACTGTATAAAGTGCATCCCCTAAAGATATGCATGTGGTCCTTTCAAAATAAAACACTCTTCTCTAAATATTTTGGCCAAGCTATCACCAAATTACAAAAAATAAAACCAACGCAGAGTATTTACTTATGAATTGCTGTGATACTAACAATAACTGTGTGTTGCCTCAGCAGGTGGCTCACAGCACCTGTGGAGACAGTGAGTATAACCTGCGCAGCCGCACGGTGGTCTGTGGCTCCTGTGGACTTCCTTCAGACAAATCCAGCCACTGCTCCGTGACCTCCCCCTCCAGATCCTTCCGCAGCGGAGGGATCTCCGAGGGTCTACTGCCGCAGTCCTACGTGTTCAGCACCAGCTCTCCTCGCAAGGTGAGCAATGAGTTCATCACAAAGGAAGACAAAACATCAGCTCCACTAGGATGCTGAAACACCAGTGTTCTTCTGATTTTAGAGATCAGTGCTTTTTATTTTTATTTCTGTCTTCATCTTGAGTATTTTTGTGTTTGATGGTAACTTTGTCATCTTTCCGCGTAGACTGGATCCAGAATGGAGAACTGTCCAATCATGTGAGCCCCATGGACCCTCGCTGGAACACTTCAACTCTTTTAGTTTTCAGTTATTAGTGCTTTATAGTTACCAGTTTTAGTTATTAAGGTTAGTTAATGTATAACAGAATAATCATTTCAAAATAAGGCATGCAAAAAAACTTGATACTGCTTTTTTATAATGTACATAGGCGTGCTTATGATTTCTTTCTGGAATTTAAATGGCGATTTAGCAATCACTTTGTTTGCTTTGCTGTCATTAATGGTTGGAAATATATACCAGCCTTTCACATAGCAACACAACATGAATCAGCTACTTGAACAACTTACTGTCGAACAACTGTTTGTGCTAAAAGCCTTGTTTACTTCTAAAAGAGTTGTTGCTGGTCGATAAATCATGCTTTTTTTGTGCTACTTATAGAACCGTTTCATCAGATTTTCATTTTCGTACTGACGTGAACTTACTGATGCAGCAGGGTTGCAGTAAAGGTTGACCCCAACCTTTCTACAGATCTGAGGAATATTGTGTATTTTATTCTTATATCAATAAACATCTTTTTCAGAATTCTGCCATATTTGTTCAACAATAATGATAGGATAGCAGTCTAGGTGCAAATAGCAAAATACAAATAAGTGGGTTTTGTTGTTACTATTATTGGCAGATGCATAACAATTACACAGGTACATATTTTTAGTAAAGAACATTCTTGCTTAGACTATATGGCGCTGACTAATACCTTAACTACAAATCTTGTGAATTATGTATGAAAAAAAACACAATTAAAAAAGAAAACATAAGATAAGGAAAAAACACATTAGTAGAATTCAATATTACCACCACTGTCCATTTTTTTATTATTAAATCTTTTATAAAATATACTCTCCCTTCCCGTACAGCACTTTCTCACTGTGTGAACTTTTATTTTGAAATTAGCATTTTTTTAAACCCGGAAGTGGCTGAAACAGTTTGGCTGCAGGTGTTGCACGGCTCTCCTACACATCCGTTTGTTAATTATCCGTAAGTCGTGTCTCTGCATTGTTCATGAGGGAAAATATGCATGTGAAGTTGTTTTAAAGGAAGACTTGCTTGCATTTGGTGAGTGTCATTCATAATTTGTCTCGAAGTCAGTATACTCAAGCTAAAGCTAAAGTTCAGCTAACAACTTGCAACAACTTCACAGCCTGTAGACTGAATTCAAAAGTATAACTTGACCTTTATGTGGTTTAAGTATTTCGTTTATGAACTGCCACTAAAACAAACATGTGTAATTAACATACTTGACTCGTTCGGTCTCCACCAAAGGGCTAATGTATATGCTGCGTGCTTACTGCTAAAGTCACCTAGTACATTAAGTAAAGCTGATACAGGTGGGGCCGTGTGCAACAGACAAAATAAAGTTGATGCAATGAAGTAACATCAGCATGGCTTGCATTGCATTTAAAACATATATTATTTACGTAATTGTATATATTTTTTAGAACGCAGATTTTAATTACATTTTGAATTTGAAAATATTAAAAGTAGACCGCAGATCAATTACTTTTAGTTGATTGAAAAAATATCGATAAGTGGTCTTGTAAAAGTACCATCATAATAATAATTGCTGCTCAGCTTCTAAAATATGACAAATTCTGCTTTATTCTGTTGAATATAATTCGAAAGGTAATTAGATTGAATTGTCAACTAGCTATTCTTTTTTGACAACAGCTATTATAGGGTTATTGATTTAAACTGTAAAATGTCCCAAAGAATTATTTCTTAAATATATCGTAAGGCTGAACCCATCTTTTTGGAAATGTGCTCATTGGATACATTTATTTTCCCTTATTTCGGATTTGGATATTTGATCTCACCATCTCACCAGAGTCCTGCCGAAGCTCCAGAGCCCGACATAGGTTATATTGAGACAGACTTAAAAAAAACACTGATCTTTTCAGCATTAATTCAGATAAAACAATTTGACCTATGGGAATGTATCATTTTCACTTCTTTTTCTTTACAGCCATTTATGAAAAAGATGCTAAAAGCTACCTGGAGCCCTACTTAATAATCATTTCAGTTCAGGATGATTTGGTTTCATGTTCACTCTGCCCTAAGTACAAGTTCAGCCTTCTGATTTAAAATGCAAATGACTTTGGCTCGGAGACACTTTGTCTCCTCTCTTCCTGTAAACCATATCAAGCATTTGCTGAGAGCCCAGGGATGATCGATGCTCTTCGCTGCAGGACAGTGAGTGCACAGCCCGCAGGACAGTGAGTGCACAGCCAGCAGGACAGTGAGTGCACAGCCAGCAGGACAGTGAGTGCACAGCCAGCAGGACAGTGAGTGCACAGCCTGCAGGACAGTGAGTGCACAGCCCGCAGGACAGTGAGTGCACAGCCCGCAGGACAGTGAGTGCACAGCCCGCAGGACAGTGAGTGCACAGCCTGCAGGACAGTGAGTGCACAGCCCGCAGGACAGTGAGTACACAGCCAGCAGGACAGTGAGTGCACAGCCTGCAGGACAGTGAGTGCACAGCCTGCAGGACAGTGAGTGCACAGCCAGCAGGACAGTGAGTGCACAGCCAGCAGGACAGTGAGTGCACAGCCAGCAGGACAGTGAGTGCACAGCCAGCAGGACAGTGAGTGCACAGCCAGCAGGACAGTGAGTGCACAGCCTGCAGGACAGTGAGTGCACAGCCCGCAGGACAGTGAGTGCACAGCCCGCAGGACAGTGAGTGCACAGCCAGCAGGACAGTGAGTGCACAGCCCGCAGGACAGTGAGTGCACAGCCCGCAGGACAGTGAGTGCACAGCCCGCAGGACAGTGAGTGCACAGCCTGCAGGACAGTGAGTGCACAGCCTGCAGGACAGTGAGTGCACAGCCTGCAGGACAGTGAGTGCACAGCCTGCAGGACAGTGAGTGCACAGCCCGCAGGACAGTGAGTGCACAGCCCGCAGGACAGTGAGTGCACAGCCTGCAGGACAGTGAGTGCACAGCCTGCAGGACAGTGAGTGCACAGCCCGCAGGACAGTGAGTGCACAGCCAGCAGGACAGTGAGTACACAGCCAGCAGGACAGTGAGTGCACAGCCTGCAGGACAGTGAGTGCACAGCCAGCAGGACAGTGAGTGCACAGCCAGCAGGACAGTGAGTGCACAGCCCGCAGGACAGTGAGTGCACAGCCAGCAGGACAGTGAGTGCACAGCCAGCAGGACAGTGAGTGCACAGCCAGCAGGACAGTGAGTGCACAGCCAGCAGGACAGTGAGTGCACAGCCAGCAGGACAGTGAGTGCACAGCCTGCAGGACAGTGAGTGCACAGCCCGCAGGACAGTGAGTGCACAGCCTGCAGGACAGTGAGTGCACAGCCTGCAGGACAGTGAGTGCACAGCCAGCAGGACAGTGAGTGCACAGCCTGCAGGACAGTGAGTGCACAGCCCGCAGGACAGTGAGTGCACAGCCCGCAGGACAGTGAGTGCACAGCCCGCAGGACAGTGAGTGCACAGCCCGCAGGACAGTGAGTGCACAGCCCGCAGGACAGTGAGTGCACAGCCCGCAGGACAGTGAGTGCACAGCCCGCAGGACAGTGAGTGCACAGCCTGCAGGACAGTGAGTGCACAGCCAGCAGGACAGTGAGTGCACAGCCTGCAGGACAGTGAGTGCACAGCCTGCAGGACAGTGAGTGCACAGCCAGAGTGCATGTAGGGAAAAGAAAATGCAAGCAAGCACTGAAAGCAGCAAAGGGCACCTAGCCATTTTACAATATCTAAACTGTAAGACGGTATCTAGTCTATTATCAGTATCACAATATACAATTCATATATTACCAAGCCCTAATATACACACTATTTCTTTAAATTATTTAATTTACCATACATAAAAATACATTTATATAAAAAAGAATGCAGATGACTTATGCCATATGAGGCTATTGACTCATTTCCATCTGCACTCCCTGGGCATGTACACGCATAACAATCATCACAAAGTCTTGATCACACTAACAGGAACCAGATTGTAGCACGGATCCACGTATATTTACCAGTACATTTATCAGTGTAATGATCATTTTATAATCTTAACTAAAAACATACAATGTTTACAAGACTGGTTGCTCAATATACATTTTTCAGATCATGGGAAAATGCCTGCCTGAGCCGTAGCCTGCAGGCTTTGCTTCATGTGAAACGGTCTTGTTTGGGCTCCACAGTTCCACTTGAATCAGTGCAATAGCTCATGAGACCCATGTGGGGTGTTCTTCCTTTAGTTCAGGGCTGTTCTCTCTTCTGTTGCAGCAGTGTGTATCTGGATGTTGAGTGTGCGGGCTCTGTTTGGGATCGGCTTCCTGGTGACCTCACGGGCCCCGGCAGTCCTCTGTCAGACATGCCCGCTGCCCGCTGCAGCTAACAACCATAAGAAGGGCTGTTTCAGCCACAGAGAGACCTCCACCATGGCCCAGACCCTCAAATACCTTGGGTAAAGTTGTAGTAAATCCATCAAGAGTGTGTGTGAGAGAGAGCTAACTGAGCGGTGTCTGGTCCGCAGGCAGGAGGAGGCGCAGCACATCGATGAAGAGCTCTTCAGTGAGTACGGCTTCAGCGTGGATCAGCTGATGGAGCTGGCTGGACTCAGCTGTGCCACAGCCGTCGCCAGGGTGAGATATCAGGGCTCTTATTGTGAAATAGAAACAACAGTGTTACATTGAAAGCTGTAGAGATGAGTTAATTTGTTCATAGACAAAAGATAATCGGCAAATATTTCCAAAACCCAACCCTTTTAAAGCGGGATGCCAAGCATTCGTCACATGGAAAGACTTGATGTCTTTTTTTGTTATATGTGACTGTACACTCAATACATTGTTTTAAATATCCACATTTTCACTTTTAAACATTTTATGAGCTAGCGATTCGTTCATTAGCATTGGAAGTAATTATTGCAGCCTACACAATGTAGTGGACATTAATAGATACGGTTTTTATTATTTATTGTGTTTTTCTGATTTGACTAAGTTTTCTTGTGATTTGTTCTGTTATCTTTTTCCATTTTGTCACAACCAACGAAGTAAACCTCATCTTTTTGCTCGCCATTGTCTCCAAAAACAGTTTTCGACATATAATAAAGTCCTTATTACTCAATAATCCTTATTATTGAGTATTTGTTCTTCTATTGCTTCACTATACACTAATGTTAATTGTACTACACCAAATCAGAGGATTCAAAGGAAAGAAATGGTGCATACAAGTTCAAAGTCTTTGCAGGCAATTAGACAAAAGACTTTGGGAGATAACCACTTAGGCATTGTCCAGATGGTAAAGCATTCCTTCAAAAACACTCATGCATGATCCTTTTCTATACCTATGTATTGTTTTAATGCAAGTACACACACCTTAAAGACCTTTTCAGCTACACTTCATATAACCATGAAAAGGCTCACTGTGTGACCTTGAAACCAGGTCAAAGTACATCATGTTTTTAAATCGTATTACAGCCTAACATGAGGAGGACTCTGATTACTTCTGATGTTTCATCACAAGGAGCATTTATCTTCAGTAGCAGCTGTGTAGTAACTCCTCTTTTCCTGGTCATACCTCAGTTTTGGAGCATTGATTTTACTGTGTGTTTTTCCTGCAGGCCTATCCAATCAGCTCCCTGGTGAAGGCCAGACCGTCCCTGCTGGTGATTTGTGGACCTGGGAACAACGGAGGCGACGGCCTGGTCTGCGCCCGACACCTTAAACTCTTTGTGAGTGTCTTTAACATGTGTAAAGTAAAGCACATTATAGAAAGGAATCCTACAACAAGATGATTTTAGCTGAAAACAGGTTGAAATGTTACGTGTGTGTGTGTGTGTGTGTGTGTGTGTGTGTGCAGGGTTACGAGCCCACCATCCTGTACCCGAAGAGGCCAAACAAGCCTCTGTTTCAGGGTCTTACCACGCAGTGCCAGAAGATGGAGATCCCCTTCCTGACGGAGATGCCAGAGGTCTGGATATTATCAATAATGCAGCATCCACAGTGGTGAAGTAATGTGATCTGTTACATGATTAGATCTCTTACATTTGACTGCAGTCCAGAGCAGATGAAGGCGTAATGATCCAAATAGGGGCAATTAGGGTTAGAGTTTTTATTGCAACAGACAACACAATAAATAATTTTCAAGTAATGATGCCGAGTTATGTGTTCAGATCTGCACCATATAACGACATGTTTATACTCTGTGATGTGTACAATGTTGATGTTTGTTGGTCTTTAAAACATTCATTTCTCAGGCTAAATTGATTGACGAGGCTTACAACCTGGTGATAGACGCCATCTTTGGCTTCAGCTTTAAGGGGGCTGTTCGAGAGCCTTTTGGTTCCATCCTGGACGTGCTGAAGAAGACCACCTCCCCCATCGCCAGCATCGACATCCCCTCAGGTCAGTCCTCTCTCTCAACACTTTTCAAGTATATTGATCTCCGTTTATCCACAAAGGGTGCAATTTGAGTTGGTACAGTGGATCTCCGCAGGCAACAGGTGTAGACAGAAAATCTGAGTATCCAGGTTTGTTTGACTTTTTTACACGTTGTTGTTCTCCTCCTTTCCTCCGCTCTTGTCTCCGACTGTGAGTGTGTGCATTCGTATATGTGTGTGGGGAGCGGAGCCCCGCCCTTCAGAAACAGAGTGGAGGACAGAATGTGAATGCGCAAAGCAATGCAGTGGACACTGAAACATGCACATACATTGGATAAATAACATTTAAAGTTTATTTAATAAAAGAGCACATGTTCAATGTGAAAAGTGACCGTAGATGATTACTTCAGTTGGGATTTATATACATATTGAAAAAACCACCTTGAATTTCAGGGGGGGCGCAGGGTTCCGTTGGGGGGGCGCAGGGCCCCCCCAAGACAATGGTAGGGGAAACACTGAGTTTATTCTGGGGCCTTGAACTAGTCCCTGTATTTTTCCAATGGATTATTCTGCTGATTCTTTTCTCTGTTAATAATGAATGGTTTTGTCTGTTAAATGTCAGAACATAGTGAACATTTTCTCTATTTATCAAAGTCCAAGATGATGTCTTCTAATATCAGATGTCAGTCCAAAAACCCGAAAGTATAAATGTTCTATTATCTATAAAATAGAAATGCAGGAAATCTCTATATTTGAGGCTAACTATAATAACGATGAATCGATTATCCATATTAGTTAGCATTTTTTCTGTTTAAGTATGATGTCCGATTCATTGTTTCAGCTCGGCTCATTTTGATACAAATAGACATTACATTGCATTTAGCTGACGCTTTTATCCAAAGCGACTTACAATAAGTACATTCGACCAGGAAGACACAACCTTGAAGAAAACAGAATCATATAAGTACATCAGGTTTCATAGAGCCAAACATTTCAAGTGCTACTCAACTGGCTTTAGATAAGCCAGTCCTTTATTAGTACATAAGTGCTTTGTTAATAATTGTATCGCTCGTGGAGTCGAAAGAGATGAGTTTTCAGTCTCCCCCGGAAGATGTGCAAGCTATCTGCTGTCCTGATATCAATGGGGAGCTCATTCCACCATTTTTGAGTGCAATCTCAGTGGACTCACTGCCCGAAGAAAAACAACGATAGTACAGATGCCATGCCATCTCCAACATACCAGTAATCTTAACCAGTCAATGGCACGGTAAAAACTATGCACCATCTAATACGCCTGCACGTGCCGTTAACCTCAAAGTCATCAAAGTCCAGCCAAAGCAGATCTCCTCTCATGACATAGAAGTCTAACAAATAAAATTAGCCCTCCTAAATGTCAGATCTCTGAATAATAAAAACGTTTTAGTTAATGACCTGATTAAAGAAAATAACTTAGATTGCATCTGCTTAGTGGAGACATGGTCACAATATACCGTCCACCTAGACACTCGCCATTATTTATACAAGAGTTCTCTGAATTGATCTCACTATGTGTTACCAGTTACGATAAGGTGATCCTAAACGGAGACCTGAATCTTCATATAAATAAAAAAGCGGACTCCAAAGCTATAGAGCTTGCAAATCTACTAGATAGCTTTGATCTAACACAGCATATAATAAATGCAACTCACCGACATGATAATACATTAGACTTAGTGATAACAACTGGACTAAACATCAATAATATCTCAATAACTGAGCTACCTCTCTCCGACCATCACTGTATATTCTTTGATGCTGAAATAACCCTTACGAAAACAAAAAAAGAAGTCATAGTTCAAAAAAGGCTCCTTAACGACAAAGCTGAATCAAAGTTCACCGATCTCATCAGACTCTATGAACCACACAGTCATGACAGCTCTCTGAATGAAATGGTAGAACATCTCAATGATGCACTATCATCTGTATTCAATTCTGTTGCCCCACTAAAAACTAAAAAGACATCGACAAGCAAAGAATCCCCCTGGTTGAACTATAATGGTGTCAAGGAAGAAAAAAGGAAATGTCGTGCAGCAGAGAGAAAATGGAGGAAAACAAAAACCACTATCTGCTGTCACTATCTAATATGCTTTAACTGCATTTAACAGAACCATCCGACGAGCAAGGAAAGATTATTTTTTCCAATATTATCACAGAAAATGCCGGAAATTCCAGAGTCCCTTTCTCCACTATCGATCAGCACTGTCTCTGCCCCCCCACCCTCCTCAACAGCTAAATGTGAGGAATTTGCTCTGTTTTTTGAGAACAAAATAACTTCAATCAGAGCTAGTATCAATACTAGTGGAGGTGGAGATGAAACCGGTCTCAGTAGAGTATGTAATGTAACTTTACATGCATCACACTAAGCGAACTGTGTAAAACTGTCTCAGAAGCAAACTCCACAACCTCAGACATTGATCCTATCCCCACAACATTCTTTAAGCGAGTGTTTGATAGCATCTCCAGTCCAGTCCTGGACATTATAAACACATCCCTTAAAACTGGCGTCTTCCCTGATGCCTTTAAAACAGCTGTTGTAAAGCCTCTATTAAAGAAACCTAAATTGGATAACAACACAGTAGCAAACCACAGACCAATATCAAATCTACCATTTATCAGTCAAATATTGGAAAGAATTGTCTCAGTCCAAATCAATTCCTTTCTTAAAGAAAACAACATCTTAGAAGTGTTTCAGTCAGGTTTCAGAAGAGCATGTCGGGCTGCAGTCCGTCTGCACTGCCCTGCTCCACATCCCAGCCTACGGAAACTGCACTCACAAAGGTATTTAGTGACATCAGACTCAACTCTGATGCAAATAAAATCTCCATCCTTATCCTATTAGATCTCAGTGCAGCTTTTGATACTATTGATCACAACATCCTAATAAATCGACTTGAAAAGCTTATTGGTTTCTCTGGTTGCGTGTTGAACTGGATCAAAACATATATCAGAGGAAGGATGTTCTATATTAGTCTAGGAGGCCATACATCAGAGAAACATGAAAGCTGCTACGGGGTTGCACAAGGGAGCTGTTTAGGTCCATTACTCTTTTCTCTCTATATGTTACCGCTCGGCCACATCATCAGAGAGTATGGTATAGATTTCCACAGCCATGCGGATGATACACAATTGTACATATCCGCTGAACCAAATGATGTGACAGCCATAAACTCCATTACCAACTGCCTGACAGCCATAAACAAATGGATGAACGATCATTTTCTTAAATTGAATGAGGACAAAACTGAAGTCCTACTTGTCGGCCCCAAATCAAAAAGAGAGATGCTAACAAATAATCTAGGAAGTTTAACCACTTGGATTAAACCGGAGGTGACAAGTCTCGGTGTCATCCTGGACTCAGATTTGAACTTCAACGTCCATTTAAACAAAGTGACCAAAATAGCTTTTTTTCATCTCAGAAACATAGCGAAGGTAAGACCATTCATAAATCAAAATGATGCAGAGAAGCTAATTCATGCCTTTATATCTAGCCGACTAGACTACTGCAATGCACTATTCACTGGTCTCCCCAAGAAAGCTATTGGAAGACTCCAGCTCATTCAAAACTCTGCAGCTAGACTACTGACGAATACCAAAAGGAGGGAACACATTAGTCCTGTCTTAGCTACTCTACACTGGCTTCCTATAACTTTCAGAATTGATTTGAAGGTGCTTCTCCTCACATACAAAGCTCTAAATGGACAAGGACCCAGCTACATTGCTGACTCTCTAATGAACTACACACCTGCCAGAACACTGCGATCATCAGATGCAGGTCTATTAGAGGTCACCAGAAAGAGTCATAAGAAGATCGGTGAAGCAGCCTTTGTAAACTACGCCCCAAAACTGTGGAACACGTTACCCAACAATATTAGGGAAGCCAATACGTTAGGTTTTAAGCTGCCTTTTACACTATTATACTGCACTATTCTCTGTGATTGACATTGCACTATTTCTCTGTTTTATTCCCCATGTTTTTATTTTTAATTATTTTATCCCACTTTATGCTTTGCTCTTGCTGCTTGTTTTTCACTGATTTTATGTCTTATTTTTTACTGATGTAAAGCACTTTGAACTGCAATCCCCTGTATGAAAGGTGCTATACAAATAAAGTTATTATTATTATTATTTTGGAGCCAGGATAGCAAACCCACGTGTTTTTGCTGATGGGAACTTGGGTCCCCTTCGCAGTGCGGGTGCAGCGAGCTGTTTGGCTGATGCAGAGCGTAGTGCACGTGCTGGGGTGTACGGTTTAACCATGTCCTGGATGTAGGAAGGGCCAGATCCATTCACAGCATGGTACGCAAGTACCAGTGTCTTGAAGTGGATTCTAGCAGTTACCGGACAGTTTACAGTACATTTGATTTGAATTGGGAAATAAATGAAGCATTGGGAACTATAGATTTATTTACAATGTATCAGTTTTTTGGTGAGTAGAATCATTCAATAAGTGTTCTTAGCAGGGATGGAACGGGTTTGATATGGTCCATTCATTTGTGTGTCAGCAATGTAGAAAATCTTGAAAATCAATCATTTAATTTGCATTAAATCGACTTTTCGTGCTCTAAGGCAGATTATATCAATATGGGTGACCCTTTGACTTTGATTGTAGTGCTACCATGAGACAGAAATATGTTAAACATCAATGAACTAATTGTCACAAATTGTACTGCATATTCACTAAAAAGAAGAAGTGGAAGCTTGAACTTATGACCTCTTTATTGTTTTCCACAGGCTGGGATGTGGAGCAGGGCAGTGCAGACGGACTGCAGCCCGACATGCTCATCTCCCTCACTGCTCCCAAGAAGTCTGCCTCCATGTTCAGGGGACGGTACCACTTCCTGGGGGGCCGCTTTGTGCCCCCCAGCATAGAGAGGAAGTACCAGCTCAACCTGCCCCCATACCCCGACCAGGACTGTGTGCTGCAGCTGTAGCAGATGTACTCAAGGTTTGATGAGAGGAAGGGTATTTGTATTTAAAGAAATAGTTAATCTAATTAGAAAATAATTCCTTCTATATGTACAAAATAAATGATGTTTGTCAAAGAATAATTCTTCCTTACTCCTAAAATATTGAACCTTTTCTGTGTGTTGACGTTATCTCCCGTAAGGAATGTGATAATGCAGTCATGTGATGTTATTCTCAGTTTTACTATCGGTCATAGAGGGTTTTATGACTGTGAGAACGCTGGCTTTCTAAGCCCCACAGACAGTTGATTGAGTATTTCCAGATATCGGGGATATCTCCAGTGTTCCCAGTGTTTACGCACCATCCCCAATATGTGGATTAACTCTCTGTAAACTAGTTAAAAGGTCTATCGAGAGAGAGGCTGGGCAGAGTTGATGTGGCAACCCACCCGTGCAGTCAGAATCTCTGGCTGCTCTGTGACTTGTGATATGAATTCTCTGGCCGATACTTGTAAATAAACATCTGTGTTTGACATCAAAGCTCCAACTCTCCTTGTGTCTCTCTGAGTCCTGACTCTCCATTGCTGCAGAAGTTTCCCTTTCAATGTTTATTGAGCCAAACACTGTTTCACATTATTGAGTCAATGCTACACTGAACAAAAATATAAATGCAACACTTTTGTTTTTGCTCCCATTTTTCATGAGATGAACTCAAAGATCTAAAACATTTTCTATATACACAAAATAACCATTTCTCTCAAATATTGTTCACAAATCTGAAAATATCTGTGATAGTGAGCACTTCTCCTTTGCCGAGATAATCCATCCCACCTCACAGGTGTGGCATATCAAGATGCTGATTAGACAGCATGATTATTGCACAGGTGTGCCTTAGGCTGGCCACAATAAAAGGCCACTCTGAAATGTTCAGTTTTATCACACAGCACAATGCCACAGATGTCGCAAGTTTTGAAGGAGCGTGCAATTGGCATGCTGACAGCAGGAATGTCCACCAGAGCTGTTGCCCGTGGATTGAATGTTCATTTCTCTACCATAAGCCGTCTCCAAAGGCGTTTCAGAGAATTTGGCAGTACATCCAACCGGCCTCACAACCGCAGACCACGTGTAACCACACCAGCCCAGGACCTCCACATCCAGCATGTTCACCTCCAAGATCGTCTGAGACCAGCCACTCGGACAGCTGCTGCAACAATCGGTTTGCATAACGGAAGAATTTCTGCACAAACTGTCAGAAACCGTCTCAGGGAAGCTCATCTGCATGCTCATCGTCCTCATCGGGGTCTCAACCTGACTCCGGTTCGTCGTCGTAACCGACTTGAGTGGGCAAATGCTCACATTGGATGGCGTCTGGCACGTTGGAGAGGTGTTCTCTTCACGGATGAATCCCGGTTTTCACTGTTCAGGGCAGATGGCAGACAGCGTGTGTGGCGTCGTGTGGGTGAGCGGTTTTCTGATGTCAATGTTGTGAATCGATTGGCCCATGGTCGTGGTGGGGTTATGGTATGGGCAGGCGTATGTTATGGACGACGAACACAGGTGCATTTTATTGATGGCATTGTGAATGCACAGAGATACCGTGACGAGATCCTGAGGCCCATTGTTGTGCCATTCATCCACGACCATCACCTCATGTTGCAGCATGATAATGCACGGCCCCATGTTGCAAGGATCTGTACACAATTCCTGGAGGCTGAAAACATCCCAGTTCTTGCATGGCCAGCATACTCACCGGACATGTCACCCATTGAGCATGTTTGGGATGCTCTGGATCGGCGTATACGACAGCGTGTTCCAGTTCCTGCCAATATCCAGCAACTTCGCACAGCCATTGAAGAGGAGTGGACCAACATTCCACAGGCCACAATCAACAACCTGATCAACTCTATGCGAAGGAGATGTGTTGCACTGCGTGAGGCAAATGGTGGTCACACCAGATACTGACTGGTTTTCGGAACCCCCCAGACCCCCCCAATAAAGCAAAACTGCACGTTTCAGAGTGGCCTTTTATTGTGGCCAGCCTAAGGCACACCTGTGCAATAATCATGCTGTCTAATCAGCATCTTGATATGCCACACCTGTGAAGTGGGATGGATTATCTCGGCAAAGGAGAAGTGCTCACTATCACAGATTTTTTCAGATTTGTGAACAATTATTTTGTGTTTATAGAAAATGTTTTAGATCTTTGAGTTCATCTCATGAAAAATGGGAGCAAAAACAAAAGTGTTGCATTTATATTTTTGTTCAGTGTAATTGACATTTACATGAAAAAAACAAGCAACAACAAAAGTAAAGATAATTTAAAAAAGGAAGGATATTATTTTGAAAAGTATTACAATCAATGAACTAAAAAGAGAAAACCAAAATCTTTATAACAAATAGTTAAAATTCAGAAAGGGAAAAATAAATTAAAGTCTAAAATTAAATAAAAACAACTTTCTTAACCTCTCCTGTTTTTCTGTCCCATTATTAGCTGTAATCCTTTTGGTAAATCCTGTTTGCAAAAGGGTTGTACCGGAGATTTATAGCAATCTCATAATTATGAAGCTGTAGTTCTGAGCTTAGTTTAGCAAAAAGACTAGAAATAGCTAGCCCATCTCTGTGGAAAAGTTGAGGAATAAACTACATACACTTTTATTTTTGCTCCCATTTTTCATGAGATGAACTCAAAGATCTAAAACATTTTCTATATACACACAATAACCATTTATCTCAAATATTGTTCACAAATCTGAAAAAATCTGTGATAGTGAGCACTTCTCCTTTGCCGAGATAATCCATCCCACCTCACAGGTGTGGCATATCAAGATGCTGATTAGACAGCATGCTTATTGCACAGGTGTGCCTTAGTCTGAAACCAGAGCCCAGTCTGCTCTGATTGGTTAGCTGACGGCTCTGTTGTGATTGGTTGACTGTTAGAGATGTCCCTCCCCTTAGCCTCTCACGTACAATGTGTTTGAGCTCTAGCCAGTAGGATCTTGAATGTTACATAGTGATGTCATCATGTTATGGAGTTAAACAAAGAAGTCCAAGGGAGGTTTCAGACAGGGGGGGGAGGGAGAGTGTGTGGGAGGGAACACTGGGATGTTAGCCTTTGCAGACCATTTACATGCACAAAAACTTATATAACACACTATAGTAGAGAGAAAACCCCCCAAATCACGATAAGGCCCCTTTAAACTCTGGAATCAGATCAGAAGACTTCTCCATCGCATGTACTTTTAGAGTTTTTATTATGGCATCTTAAGTTTTAATTGAATGTACAACCAGCAACTGGAAAGACAGTCTATCATAATCCATCACATTCTATTTTTTTTATAAATTACCATACATGTTGTGTGTCGCGTTTTTTATACATTATGTGGTGATGATTCAGTAAAAAGCTTTCTTATACAATCAGCCTCATGGAGTCCAACAGACGCCCATAGTACATCTTCCATTTTATATAAACGAGCGATTCCAAATACTTAAATAAATACTGTATGTACTGTACAGTATAAGCTTTTGACAATTTCATTAATGCATAATGATTTCTCGAATAAGTGCAGGGCAGGACATGCTTTTGTGGCGCAAGATACTATGTACAGTGCTGACCATGCTCTCTGTGATGTCATATCCATGTGTGATCTTCGGCGAGGAAAAGGTAAAATAGAGGCTTGAGATGAAGAGGAGTTTCCCCCCCGAGTTGTCTACATGCAGGTCAGTGGGCGGATGGATGTGTTCAGTCCAAGGAAGACGCCTGAGGAAGAAGACAAAACAATAATGGACTTTATGGCAGTCATTCCAAACCACTGTGCTTACATTATGCTTTTATCCAAAGAGACTTATATACACTTTAGTACCACATACATGCCTGCGGGAACAATTTGCAGTTAAGTACCTTCCCCAAGGACACTTCGGGAATGCTGGCTCAACTAACCCTCTGATTGGAACATGCCCATTATTCCCCTGAGCCATAACCGCTCCATGTTTTCAGAAAATCCAGTTCACTGAAGTTGCAGTTGGTAAGTTATTTTTAAAAGTTGCTAGTAAATTACTTTCAATATTCCTCGTTTAAAGGGGCCCTATTCTGCTCATTGTCAGGTTCATATCAGTATGTAGTGTCTCTACTTTAAAGAGTCCTCTCCTGCTGATGTTCAGGTGTATATCAGTATGTAGTGTCTCTACTTTAAAGAGTCCTCTCCTGCTGATGTTCAGGTGTATATCAGTATGTAGTGCCTCTACTTTAAAGAGTCCTCTCCTGCTCATTGTCAGGTTCATATCAGTATGTAGTGTCTCTACTTTAAAGAGTCCTCTCCTGCTGATGTTCAGGTGTATATCAGTATGTAGTGTCTCTACTTTAAAGAGTCCTCTCCTGCTGATGTTCAGGTGTATATCAGTATGTAGTGCCTCTACTTTAAAGAGTCCTCTCCTGCTCATTGTCAGGTTCATATCAGTATGTAGTGTCTCTACTTTAAAGAGTCCTCTCCTGCTGATGTTCAGGTGTATATCAGTATGTAGTGCCTCTACTTTAAAGAGTCCTCTCCTGCTGATGTTCAGGTGTATATCAGTATGTAGTGTCTCTACTTTAAAGAGTCCTCTCCTGCTGATGTTCAGGTGTATATCAGTATGTAGTGTCTCTACTTTAAAGAGTCCTCTCCTGCTGATGTTCAGGTGTATATCAGTATGTAGTGTCTCTACTTTAAAGAGTCCTCTCCTGCTGATGTTCAGGTGTATATCAGTATGTAGTGTCTCTACTTTAAAGAGTCCTCTCCTGCTGATGTTCAGGTGTATATCAGTATGTAGTGTCTCTACTTTAAAGAGTCCTCTCCTGCTGATGTTCAGGTGTATATCAGTATGTAGTGTCTCTACTTTAAAGAGTCCTCTCCTGCTGATGTTCAGGTGTATATCAGTATGTAGTGTCTCTACTTTAAAGAGTCCTCTCCTGCTGATGTTCAGGTGTATATCAGTATGTAGTGTCTCTACTTTAAAGAGTCCTCTCCTGCTGATGCTCAGGTGTATATCAGTATGTAGTGTCTCTACTTTAAAGAGTCCTCTCCTGCTGATGTTCAGGTGTATATCAGTATGTAGTGTCTCTACTTTAAAGAGTCCTCTCCTGCTGATGTTCAGGTGTATATCAGTATGTAGTGTCTCTACTTTAAAGAGTCCTCTTCTGCTGATGTTCAGGTGTATATCAGTATGTATTGTCTCTACTTTAAAGAGTCCTCTCCTGCTGATGTTCAGGTGTATATCAGTATGTAGTGTCTCTACTGGGACGTGTCTCCATGCTTTAATGTTCAGAAAGCTCTTTATTTATACTGCAGCTCCTCTTTTCACCCTCTGTCTGAAACCAGAGCCCAGTCTGCTCTGATTGGTTAGCTGGCCAGCTCTGTTGTGAGCGGTCAACTGCTTAGAGATGTTCCGCCCCTTTGCCTATCACGTACAATGTGTTGGAGCGCTAGCCAATAGAAGCGAGAATGTTATATACAGTAGTGATGTCACTATGTTACAGAAGTGAAGAAAAAGGAGTCCAATCGAGATTTTAGCCTTTGCACACCATTTTACAGGCACAATTGTCAAACCTATACAACCCACTGCAGGAAAGGGAACCCCTGAAAAACATAATACGGCCTCTTTAAATCATTTTGGGTTATTTAAACCTGGAAATAAGTTAGCATTTTGCCACTTACGATTTGCTTGTCTCAATGTGATTCTGAATATGATTTTGGTTAGATGCCTGAAATAAGGTATGTGGTTAACACAAGCTTAAGATATTTTCATGTTTTACTTCTGGTGACTTCATAATCACTGCTACAATATATTGCTAATATTTCCAGCAGCTCCAAATATAAGCCCGACATATACGGTTTCATAGTAAACAAATAAATGTATTAATCATAAGAGTCTAGCACTATCGGAGCACTAATGGCGCGTTTCCACTGCAGCGGGTAGCTCGCTTTAAGCCTATTAGTCCTGTCTTAGCTACTCTACACTGGCTTCCTATAACTTTCAGAATTGATTTGAAGGTGCTTCTCCTCACATACAAAGCTCTAAATGGACAAGGACCCAGCTACATTGCTGACATTTAAGCCTAAGGGCTACAGCTAGCAGGATGTTTATATGTTTGCTGAGTCAAGGTTGGTTGCTCTGCAATACCTTCGTTAGAGGTCACGGCAACGGTATTTAGTCAATCCACTGACTCCGGTGACTATGATTCAGATTGTGTGTGTTTTTTTAACCATTTCTATATGAAACGGTATATTAGCTCGGCAACATTAATACATCTTGTTTTTCTGTAGCCTAGGCTATTCATATATCAAAATTCATTAGCACATCCAGCCCCCTGTAGGTCCTGTGCTGCGTGTTGTTGGTCAGTAAGTGCTTACAATAGCTGTAATCATAATTACATTTCCTGTGGCGTGGAAAACAAGTATGACAGTTGGTCAAATATTAGCCTTCCTATCCTATCCAATTGCCATGGATGAAGAAGTTGAAACTAGACCTGAAGATGCCGCTTACTTAATCCAATCAAAATGATCGCCTGATGCATACGGCAAAAATCTTTCTAGCTGCCTGATTAACTTCCCAGTTATGCCACTCACTAAATATTGTTACCTGGGATACATCCCAAGTCTTTTAACTGATATTGCCTTGTTTATTCTCTTACATGGTTTTCTTGCTTCTCTCAGTGCATCCTAGGTGGGAAGGACTAAGACGCAAGGATCGGCAGAGGTGAGGAGAACATAGATGCAATTTCAGAGAAATGGGATGTACCCCTAAAGTGTTTCTCCTACCATAGACTTTAGGTAGCTCCAATCAGGAGGTTGATGGTTTGATTCCAAGCCCCTGCAGTCAACATGTCCATGGGCAAGATACTAAGATTGACTGTCTAGATTCTTTAAATTGCTTTCTAGGCTCATTAATAAACACGTCTTATCACATGTTTCTTCATCTGCACTCTGTCTACAACAACAAAAGAGTAAAGGTTATAGCTTTATCTCCAAACAACATCACATGAGTAGAGTATGATGAATCTGAGCCAGTATTAAATGCAGCCTTTAGCCTTTGACAGTTTTCAATATTTAAAGCTAATATATGGACACAGCTAGATTATTGACGAAACAAGTATTACATTTAAAAACCAAGCAATCTTTAGGATCCCACACATACCTGTGCTATTCTCCGACCTGTACACCCCCACAGTTGTCTTTACCTTCCGTGGCTATAGCTAAATATTCAGCATTTCTAGAAGGAAAGGAGAAAAACCTATGTTGTGAAATAATATCACATTTTTGACTTTATAGAAATGAAATGGTGAACATTTAAAAAAACGAATCTTCACGTTATGGATGTAGGACAAGTTTTTGACTTACAGGAGGGAGGTTTTGTTTTTTACTAGGGAGGAGGATGACACGGACAAGACGAAAACATGACAAGTAGACGCAGGGAGCGTGAGACAAAGAGACACACGTGAAAACACACAAACACAATGGAAACATTGATAATCTTAAATAAAGGTAGGGAAGAGCGAGGACAGGTGAAGTAGGAGAGTAACATGAAGCAAAAACAAGATGTAACAAAGTAAAAGTTTAAAATATAGGTGTGACATCAGCAATAGAGCATGAATTAATGGGGCATTCATGAGGAAATACACACATTTCAAAGCATTATTTATTATTTGTTTAACATATAGCTGAGCTTGGTAGTAATCTTTTTAGAGTAAGGCCCAGTAACACCAAATGTCAAAGAAATGTATATTTGCTTAATTGAGCTGCAAAATATCTGCATTTTAATGCGTATGTAACCGGGTCTTTCATTAGTTTTGTAAATCTTTCCAGATTGAATTTACTTAGAGCCAAGCAGATAAATCCTAATTTGCATCTATGCTGGCCAATAACCCAATGAAAGAATTGAAGTATGGATTAGGGCTGAACAATCTTATAAACCAAGCGGCTGAAGGCACAATAACATTTCAATTCTAAATTTGTGTCAAAATACCATTTATGAAAAAATCTTGGTTTGGTACAGATCAGTCCGATCATGAAACACGATGAAAGTGATCAATCCCTTGAACAACTTCAATCATATCGCAATTACAATATCAACAATGTCAAAATTGTTCAGCCCTTGTTTGGATTGAGGTGATTTTAAAGCATTGCTTCCAATGCATGTTTTAGAACAGAACAGTACACATCTTAGCCACAATGCTTCCATAACCATATTTTAGGAATACTTATCAAAAATGGTAGCTTATGTTATGCATTTATGCTATAAAAAGTGATTATGGCCAACAATCGTTGCTGAATTTTTGTAGGCTCATGAATATCTTTGAATATCTTATAAAGTATTTGCCATAAAAATCCAGAATTTAGTTTGGTCTCTACAAGTTTGAATGTTATGGATAAAAACCTTGGATAAAAGTATTTGCTTTTTTTCACAATATATTTATAGAACACAAGGAAGACAAATGGGGTGCTCTGTATTGAGATTATAAAAAAGTAAGAAAAATAAAGATTGGATAAATAAATATATACAATCTGCATTTCTCCCAAATGTCCTCAAATTAAAGTTCCTGAAGCCATTCTTTGTAATGGCTTCACTCAGTTTTCTAAAAATGTATTTTTTTCATTCAGTAATTCTGTATACATGTAATCCAAGGTATTGTTTAGTATTGTTGGTTTAAGTTGTTTGAATGTTTGTATCAGTCAAATAAATAGTCTCTATCTATAAAATATCAATTGTACTGTAACCATTTAATAAAACTCAAACCGTCACAACTGGAGTTACAAGGTTCCCCATGGTGTAAGCAATATGTGAATACTGATGTTTATAATATACTTACGCCGCTTCTCGTAATGCTTCCTCCCCATGAGCTGATATTTTCCTGTAGCAGTAAATCATCTCTATGAGCAGCCACACCTGCAGGCCGATGACGGTAAAGTACATCATGAACTCGGACACGATGGAAGCCGTTCCTCGGGTCGCTGCGCACATGAAAGACAGTAAATCAAGAGATCAGACAGACACCAGAGAGGCCACCTGACCAAGCAGAAACTGTGAGTGAAATTACAAAGAATGGGATTTTTCGGTAAGAGAGATCTGGAATGGAGATGCAGCTGCAGCTAACATCTTAAACATTGTAAGTATGTTGTCTGGTTTAACTACATTAAAGATCCCATGTCATGGCCATTTCTACTGATCATAATTCCATTGTTGAGGTCTACTAGAATAGATTTACATTGTTCACTGTTCCAAACTCACATTGGTTTCTCATACAGCATCTCTGTATAGTATGTGTATTCACTCTCTGTCCTAAGCGGCTTGTTGGAGCTCCTGCCCCCCCCCCCCCCCCCCCCCCCCCTCCCTGTGAGCCCGCTGTGCTCTGATTGGTCAGCTCGCCCACTCTGTTCTGATGAGTCCACCACCGTTACAGCGGAACATCAGTGATTATGTTTTACAATGGCGTTTGTTAGCAACCAGAAAATGACACCAGTAATGACAAACAGATGAGAATGCTGCGTGGGGTCTGGGTGCCGTTGTTACGTCACTTGGTTCCCGGAAGAAACAAATGTAAAAAGAGAAATGTCCAACGAGGCGTTCTGGGGCAGCACAGACAGGTCTTTTCTGTGTTAGAGTTTTACTCGCTACAGGGTGTACTTTGAGGGTTTGTGACTGCAGACCGTTTACATGCAGAAAAACCTTCATAACACACAAGGGGACGGGTAATAACCGGAAAAGCATGACAGAGTCCCCCTCTTTTTTCCCATGCTGCCTAGGAATCATACTTAATTCTAAAGCATTATTTTAGTCTAAAACATTGGTCTTCAACAAAGGACGTTACAAAAGAGATGCTGCTGAATTGTTGGTTTAATTTAAATTAAAACATGTCTGATAATACACATAACCTCACGTTATCTCATGACCGAGCTTACCTCTGCTAATTTACTGTGAGGCACCTATATATGACGGCAAACTATAAGAACGCATTATTATTTAAGAGCTTTGCACTATAAAAAAGTATGTTTACTTTAGGCTGGATAGATGTATTTTATGCCCAGTTTAATATTGAACCCAATATTATATATATATATATATATAGTAAAGGGGGCCCTGCCCTGTTTCTATTTCAGATGACCACTGACCTAATCTACTTGACATACCTTACATTGCCTTTAATATGGTGAAATCAGATAATCTGCAATAAATTGAAAGCAATAATCATTTTGCTCATACATACTGAGAAACTGAGTGAGCGAGGTGTCTATTACTGTTAGCGAGAAAGTGACACACTCAATTTATGTACTGTTAACCCCCACTTTAATGAAATATTCGCTTATTAGATATAGATGTGACAATCTGTAATAACCACTTGTGAGTAGGCATCAGTTTGGAAATGGCTGTCGTTTAATCATTATGGTCTGGAACAAAAATCAGATATTGAAAAAAATAAGTAAAGCTTTCATGACGGGCTAAGATTCTTGGCTGAAGAGGTCGTTTTCAAAACTATTACAATTTGTTGTATTTATTTGCAATATTTCTGTGCCATTTTTATTGGAGGTTAATGGACTGCATTTATATAGCGCCAGTCATTGTGACCCCTCAAAGCACTTATACATATTCAAGCATTCACCTATTCACAAATATTGTAAATGGCTCAGGCAGAGGCTGCAAGAGCACTTTGAAATGTTGACTGCATGTGCTGGGGATTGAACCAGCGACCTTCCTATTGGTGGAAGACCACTCACCTCCTGAGCCCCAAATCCGCCAAACTTAGGTTACTTCTTAACATCTTTTTTTTGCAGTGCTTGCTCTTAAACCCTGCTCCTAATGACTCTATCCGCTCTCCCATCACAGGCCCAGCAGTTGAAGACCTGCAGTAGAAGTCATCGTACCTTTGGCCACCACGGTGAGCTTCACCACCTTGCTGATGACGGTGGTGTAATCATAGTTGTCGTAGGCGAGGATGCGATTGAAGAAGCACTGGTAGGTTCCCGAGTCGTTGAAGGTGACGTTGAGCAGGTATATGGACGCGTCTTGGATGTCGTTGCTCCTCTTACTTCCGTTCCAATCCACACGGCCCACGAAGTTGTCGCTTTCCACGGTGGCGCCGTCCTCATTGTAGCTGTAGATCTGCAGAGACATCAAGGTCAGTCACAATGCTGCTCTGACAGAACACCAGTTACTTCTGCACATATATATTTCCACAAATAATGTACAATGTTCAATACAGTGTATTCAATGTTCTGTGTATTCTCTTGTTCCGATTAACCCAGCCAAATCTTTTTTCTTGTTTTGTATCTATATCTACGCCGGGATCCGGAGTCGAGGCTGATCCTCTTGCTGTAGTCCTGTGTCTTGGATCCTCTATCCCGAGTTCTGGATTAAGTCGTGGACTTCGGGTCGTGGCTGAACCTGTCTCTGCGGTCCTGCCTTGGGTCTCGTCATGCTGCTTCCCTGATGGCTTCCACAGGATTGTAGCTGACATCCTCGTGGATTCATCTTCTTATTACAGACACATGCATTTCCTAACATTCGGTCTATATGCTGTAAAATGTATTATCTCTTCGATTTACACACGCCATCTATTGCACGTCTGTCCGTCCTGGGAGAGGGATCCCTCCTCTGTTGCTCTCCCTGAGGTTTCTCCCATTGATTCCCTTTTAAACTGTGGGTTTTCTCTGGAAGTTTTTCCTTGTACGATGTGAGGGTCTAAGGACAGAGGGTGTCGTTTTTCTCATACTGATATTCTGAACAATCTGTGCTGTTGTATTTGCTGTAAAGTGTCTCTACTGTAGGCTATTGTTATTATATGTACAGCACTTTGGCTCCACCAAAAATCGTTTATAAATGTGCTATATAAATAAAACTTGATTTGATTTGATATACAGTGGAGGAAATAAGTATTTGATCCCTTTCAGATTTTGTAAGTTTGCCCGCTCAAAAAGAAATTAACAGTATATATTTGTAATGGTAGGTTTATTTTAACAGTGAGAGTAAGAATATCAAAAAGAAAATCCAGAAATTGACATTATATAAAAGATTATGTATTTGCATTGAACTGTGGGAAATGTCTGTTGATCCCCTTGCAGAACATGTGTTAGTACTTGGTGGAGAAACCCCTGTTGGACACACAGAGGTCAGACGCTTCTTGTAGCTGGTCTCCAGGTTTGTGCACATCTCAGGAAGGATGTTGGTCCACTCCTCATGATCATCAATACCCCACGGGGCAAGATCTTGTGAGGAGCCTCAGTGCGAGGGCTATTGATTGTTGATTGATGCTCATTTGATTTTTCTTCCATTTTCAAATAATGGCACCAACAGTTGTCTCCTTCTCACCGAGCTGCTTTCTGATGGTCTTGTAGCCAATCCCAGCCTTGTGCAGGTCTACAGTCTTCTCCCTGAGGTCCTTAGACAGCTCTTTAGTCTGGCCCATGGTGGAGAGGTTGGAATCTGATTGATTGATTCTGTGGACAGGTGTCTTTTATACAGATAACAAGTTGATATTAGGAGTACTTTCTTAAAGGAAGAGGACTTATGTAACCGTCTGTGGGAGCCAGAATCCTTGTTGGTTGCAAGGGGATCAAATACTTATTTCCCACAATGCAAATCAATTTGTATCTTTTATATAATGTCAGTTTCTGGATTTTCTTTTTGATAGTCTCTCTCTCATTAGTAAAATAAACCTACCATTGACATTTTAGACTGTTCATTTCTTTGTAAGTGGGTAAACTACAAAATTGGCAAGGGATCAAATACTTATTTCCTCCACTGTATGTATATATAATGTATAGCTTTTGAATAATTATACTGTCTTATTTAGTTCTTTATTATTTAGAGTCGTTTTTACTTAACCTTGTTTCTTGTACTGCTGTAAAATGTGATTTTCTATATAACAAAGCTTTTCTTCTAACACATTTTGAATAATTGCTCTGTCATTAGTGCAGGTAGTTAAGCATAATGAGACTAGGTAATACCCAAAGTCCCAAAGCTCGATATCAAAGTGTCCAATGTTTTTTTACTCTTTATATACAAGGGAAAAACATTGTGTTTAGTGGTACACAATAAAAACAGATCCCATTTTTACGTAAAGGAAAATACAGAGACAATAAGGTAAAATGCTGATAAAATAACAGTTTGAGGAAGATATCCAACATACAACCACAATGTTAAATATCAAGGAAATGCTTGAGATAAAATAAAGAGATATTAAAGTGTACTCATATGCCTCTCTGCTGCCTTGACTATCTTGCTACTGTATAACAAATTGCTTGTTGAATACAAAATAATGATAGATGATTTTTTTTATGAATAAGTGATTTTTTTATGAATAACTTGAACATTTAACTGAACACAAGGCACCAATCTAAAAGTAAAGAACTAATGAAACTCTTTCAATTAACTACAAATCACTTAATGCAATATCGCAGTCCATTCAAACATTTGTTGACCCAAAAGTCTGTTGTACGTGATAGGCTAAGGGGCGGGACATCTCTAAGTTGTTGACCAATCACAACATAGCCGACCAGCTAACCAATCAGAGCAGACTGGGCTCTGGTTTCAGACAGAGGGTGAAAAGAGGTGCCGGCTCTCGTACTGCCTTTTTCTCACAGGCAGTGACATGTCACAGTAGAGGAACACAATATTCTGTATGTGTGTCCATGGGAGATATTGTTTTCATTGACACATAAAAGGAGCATTAAGTCAAAAATGTCAGCTGAAATTAATGTTGCTTTTTTATATAAAGGATTTCGATTTTATTAAAAATGTCCAACTTACCACTTATAATATTTGCATTAGGACATACTGATCCATGCAGCTACATTATCTCATACATTATCAGGATCCAACCCGAGGTCATCACGGCTGTGTGTCATCTCTGGAGCTGTAATGATCTCTGTGGTGTAAAATATCACCATTGATTGCATGTGAACCTCGGGATGACCTCGGCACTGGACTCTGATGTGATGTGGGAGAAGGGAGGGGAGCTCGGGTGCGCACTTTACAGTATATGCATGCATATAAAAATAGCTGTTGTCTGAAGGAGTGTGATTTCAGGGATGCTTGCACGACTAAAACTCCTTTAGAAGCACAAATACTTCCTGTGCTCCACAACATGCTGTGTCAGTAACATTATGTCCTGACATCAGACATTTCCCAGCAATGATTTTCACTCACATGAAAGAAGTCGGCCTCTCCTTTGCCCCTGAAGTACCATTCGACGGTGGCAGTAGCTATCACCTCGGTCCTCCTCTTGCAGGAGATGCAGCCCAGTTTGAACCCCACGCCCGCCACTGCCTCTGTGTCGGAGTCCACCTCGGCACAGGCCCCCCGGCCCTCGTACAGGGCTAAACAGGGAGGATATCACAACTCTGGGTTAGCACGGTGTGGCCACAACATTAAAAAAGGCTTGAATTAATCATCTCAACTCACCTATCATATGAAATAAAATAAAAAACACAACAAGGTTTGATACATCCATGTCACCGGATTATGTTTTAGGAGCCTTCAAAAATGTGGTTCTTCTTCTCTGTGGGTTCTTGTATGGAGTTCCAAAGTGTGTTGTTGACGTTTTAAAAGATGAATGTGTCAGGCTACACAGCCCTTCCTTATAGTTAATGTGCTTTAGGATGTATCAACAGTGCTCAAGGTGGCAACAATTTCCTAGTGGTTGCAGGATGTATTGCCACAGATTACTACTGCTCCCTTATTTATCTCTATTCACCTGACGTATTCAAATCGTTGTTTTTAAATTGTGCTTCTAATTAGATAACAGCACAATCCTGGTGACTCTCCAGATCAACACTCTGATATGTAATTATGTTGTCCCTTAGGCCTTTAATGTGAGATGCACAGAGCAATCATTGGACCTGCCGGGGGCCGTATGCACAGCTCCACAAAGACCATGATAAATGTGTGTTTATATAAGGTGCAACATGCAAGCTACTGACTGTCTACAGTACACCTTGACGCCAGTGCTTACATGATGTATGTGCAAGCTCTAGTTTAAGAAATGGCTACCTTTTTATAGGCTACAGATTAAATACAGACCGATCTATTGGTGTTATAATATGTATCCTCTATTGGATCACTGAAAACACTGTCCTGGAATAGAGGCCTCCTCTCCTCGAGTCGTGTCCTCGCAGAAAAAAATGAATATTCCTCTCCTAATGGCCCCGCACTACTGGAGATGCTCCTCTCATGCGGGCAGATAAATTGCGTGAGCGCACGGGGTGCAACGAAAAAGCAAACCCTCCACAAAAGAACACAAAATCCATCGTCCTGTGCCTGATAACGGTGTTTTCCCTGCGCCACAGCGGCACCTCTGTCGCTCAGATCAGAGGATGCTGCCGATGCACTGCGGTACAAAACCTCCGTGTTTGACTGAGCGGATCCTGCTTGTGACGCCTGCTGTAGTTCCTGCCCCGCTGGTTTTAAACTGATGCTAGTTTAGCTTTGTCTGAAAACACTGCGGGGCGCTCAGCCTACGCCCTCACCTGGCGCACATATCACGTTTATTAAAGGGCTTAATAGAAGTGGGAGCAAGCGGCAAACTCTGGGGCAGAGCCGGGACGCCAATAGGGAAGTGCCACAAACTGTAGTTCATATATTGGCCGATAAGCGATGACTGCAGAAAGGATCAATTTCCATAGACCCCATGTTAAAATGCCCAACTTTACAGCAGAAATAAACATGTTTATACCCATGGATGCAATAACAATTATTCGGGATATAGTTAGATTCCACCTTCATGATTAGGAATTGTTGAGTGAATTGTTTTATAACGCAACCCTTTTATTTATATTAGGTCTTAACGTTTTTGCATAAATTAGGGCATGGTCACATTGAGTGACAGCTCTGTCAAGTGACTGCTGCTGTTAGCTTCTTGTCTCTCTGCTAGCTGCTCCGTGAAGCTACAGGAGAGGCTTCTCAATACTCTAAATTCCCCTCCTCGACTCCTCGATCCTCCGGTAGTGACCCGGAAATGGATTTCAGCGCGTCATGTTGAAGGACATCTCATTTCTCTAAATGCACATCGAGGACCGAGCATTGAGGAGGTTCTCTGCTATAACCGAGGATACACTAGAGCAGGGGTGCCCACACTTTGTTGGCTGGTGAGCTACTTTTGAAATGACCAGCTCACCGAGGTCTACCAACCAAAAATAAAATCCCAAATTGCAAGGGTTGCTGAATAACACGTTTTATTTATACATGGGATAATAGGGCTGCAACAAACGACTCATTTGATAATCGATTAATCTATCGATTAATGAAACGATTAATCGACTATTCGGACTATTACTGTATGCCTTGCACAATTTCTCAAACCCTCTTATTTAGCCATCAACTTTTAGATTTAGCTTGAGGTTGTTTTAGGCATGTGGAAACTAACAATGAAGACAATAAAGATGAATACTTGATTCAAAAATACATATATTATTAAATTAACTTAACAAATTGTTTACAAAATTGACATTGCTTTTTATTTAAATTAAATAAATAATATTTCACATCAAAAGAAACAACAGTGTTTTAACAAATCGTATTAAATAATCTGATGACAGAACTGTAAACAGAATAGCTGAAACTTTAACAAAATAAAGAGTAACTCAGTTTCCTCTAATCATTAACCCATGTTTGTATAATGGAGTGTGTTGCTGCTAGCATAACACCTGGCGTGGAAACGTTACTCGTGGATGGGGCTGCAGAGCTACTAGAAAGACAGTCGAACCCGGTGCATTCCTCCGTCTGAATGTGGAGCACTTTTGCTAAATATTTAGACAAATTGCTCGTGTTACCGCCCTTACATGCTAAACACTCTTGGCAAGGAGCATTGTCCACCTCAAGACGGGTAACATTTAACCACACCTTGGAGCGCTTCTCTCCGCCATCCCCGCCGTGTGTTGCTGCATGTAGCGGCTGCGTGTGTGTAAACTGCCCCGCCCCCTCGCACACAGACGGGGGAGAGAGATAGAAGGCTTGTTTGAGACAAGCGAGACCTGCGCAATTTCGATCAAAGTCTTGCTCGTGCTGCATGATGGTTAGTCATTTTGTCCGACTTGCTCTGGAGGCTCGCCTACATGAGACGTTGAAATCTCGCGGGACAAAGACGCCCGCAGCCTTGAGAGCGAGGCGCGGCGAGGCGGCGCAGTTCCTCTCCACGGGCTGCGGAAGCGAAATGCTTGATGGGAAACGACTCGCTGGTATCTCGAGCTGAGCGCTCATTGGTGGTTTTTACCACGTGCTGCTGATGAAACTCTCCAATTGGCTCGGCAAAAGTTTGTTGTTGTTTTGTGTCAGTTTTACGTCGCCACATCCATTCCCATTTTTCATCATTGTTCCACAATATTTATCATCATTAAATTAATATCCATATTTTTATACTATACTTGCACTGCTTACCGTTTTCATACTTTATATATCTTAGCATATTCATACACACTGTTCATACTGCTCTCAGGCTGCTGTGTATATCTAGTGTATTCATACCCCTCACTGTTTATTCATCATTCAATTCATTCTATATTTTATTCTGTAGATTGTGTACATTACTTTTCACTTCACTGCTTGTTGTACCTGGTTAGAAGCTAAACTGCATTTCGTTGTCTCAGTACCTGTAATATGTGCAATAACAATAAAGTTTAATCTAATCTTGAGCAGGAACAAATGTATTTACTTAGTACATATCTGACATTAACGATTAAACACATGTGTGCATTCTTTATAAATGCAAACCGAGTCAAGCCGACTCCGGAGGTGGCGGTATGCACCTTAAAGTTGTTTGCAATCCGCCAAAAAACCGAGAGAAGAAGAAGAAGACGAAGCCGACTCCGAGCATGGACTCCGAGCTGTCCGACTTCAGGCGAGCTTTTTGAGACCTCCCCCGGCTGCGATCGGCTATTCTCGTCTACTTTCGAGGCGAGCCGCAACGCGTCTCAAACAAGCCTCTAGTCTGGATCGGAAAGATCGAAAATACACCGACCATATACGCATTTTTTTGTCTTTTTGCATGTTAGAAACGAGTTGGCGACACTAAGACTGCGAAATAATGTTTGTGTAGCAATAATACATGACCTTTCTCAACTCGCTACTCGGAGGGAAGTCGCTGTCATATGCCTTGTGAACACTCCGATAATGCCTCTCCACGTTACCTTTCTTTGGCAGAGCGACGCTTGCTTTACAAATAAGGCAAATAAATCACAACAAAATATTCTTCCTCCCATTCTGGGTGGAAGTGGTTTGTCTTTAGCTTTTTGCCCGGTCCCGCACTCATTTTGTTGTTTGTCTCTTGTTTGTCTCTTTAATTTTATTTGAGTTTTCCCGGCACTTGACTGATTTTGTATCGCTTTGCATTCTGGGTTCTGGGTGGGACTGGAAAGTGATAGGTCGCTTTTTCTGTCAATCAAGTAAACTCCTGAATTAAGTGGCAGGGAGGCTAAGGGAGGAGGGATCAAAACCTGTTTTGTCTATTTTAACGGAGCTGGATTTTTTTTTTTTATGAATGACTCGCGATCTACAAGCATTGCCCCCGCGGTTGACATACTGGGCACCTCTGCACTAGAGGCTTCTCAATACTCAAATTTCCCCTCCTCGACTCCTCGGTCCTCCGGTAGTGACCCGGAAATGAATTTCAGCGTGCCATTTTGAAGGACATCTCATTTCTCTAAAGTGCTTCTCAAAGTGTGGTCCGCGGACCACTGGTGGTCCGTGAGCGCCCCCTAGTGGTCCATGAGTATATTGGTACAATTTCACATTTGAAATTAATTAATTAATTAAAGTTTTCCACGCGGGAATATCTCCGCAATGGAGCGAGCTTAAGTTTCACTTTCAATTGCATGATATAGCCCAGATAAACACCTTCATCACACATGTGGCCACTTGTTTGTACCATTTTCAGGCGATTTGTAAAAAACAATGTGTTTTTGGATATTTGTGGAGTTAGGTGGTCCGCGAGTGTTTTTTTTATTGGTTAAGTGGTCCTTGGCATGAAAAAGTTTGAGAAACACTGCTCTAAATGCACACCGAGGATCGAGCGTTGAGGAGGCTCTCTGAGAGCTCTAACCGAGGATACACTGATGGTTCCTCCACGGCTCCTCCGCGGATGCATTTCCGGGAACGGTGGAGGCGTGACGCACGGCCGGACTTATCTCAGCCAATGACAGCTCTGCATGCATCTCCTGGATATTATTTTAGAAATTGCTTTCATCGCGTCGCGATGTTTCCAGAGAGAACAGCTGTGAGGTCCGTGCAGAAAGCAGAGCAGTGTGTATATTATATATCACTCAGTATAACAGGCCTACTCTCTTTATTTGCTTTAGTTTAGTAGATATCTACAAACAAAGAGTCA